CCCTACATGGTACTTCACAACTGTTGTAGCTCTACTCCTTTGAAAATAAACTTCTTCAACCTTTAAAACAAAAATCCAAGCTTATGTGAAAATCTGCAATACTTATGAAGGATAGATGCTTTGTTGTCCTGTTCAAGTGGCAGGGTCAAAACCATGTCTCTCATCTCTGACACAGAACAACATAGGCAGATCTACAGATCTACACAGATCCACATTCACTTAAACAACTGTTTCCAAGCAAAGAATAAAAGGAGTTACAGAAAAAGTCCTAAATTAAACTCTGCTCAGAAATTAGTGTAACATTTAGAGATACTTTTCAAGGTATTTACCAATCTCTAATGCAAACATGATGGAAACAAAAACATATGCTTCGAGATTCCTTCTTCCAAGCGAAGTAAGATAGCAGGAGCAAAAGAGGGCTCATAAGGTTGTCACGGTGTTGTATTTCTGGTTGCCTCATTCACATCCTTGAGATTCCTGTGAAAGTCATTTTCCGCATCCTCTCCCTTGTAAAGTTAGGAATAATTATACTAGCTTAAATGTAGCATGAGGTTTATCGCTCACTCATGGTGACAGATGCTAAATGTTACACACAATCAGAGAACTCGAGGTTGGAAATGACCTCAAGAGATTGTCTAGTCCAACTGCCCTGCTCAGGCCAGCATCAGAGCAGATCGCTTCTTAAAATAGTTTGGAAAATAATAGTCCTAGATAGCCCTCTTTTCCCTCCAAATAAGCACTGGCATTTTAACAGAATTTCATGGCATTTTATGTTCTTCCAAGCATTTCAAAGGTCTCTTGCTCTTCTATGATTCTATTCTGTTGTGTGGTTTATTATAGCAATGGAATAGGACACAGTTGAAAAGAATTCAATAGGTGGCACCAGAACACTAAAAAACTCCTCACAGCAGAGCAGATACCTTTCCCCATATAATCTTACTGAGATACGAGGTAAACTGAAGGAAATTACAGGAGGATCCCAACACACCAGACTGTGTTAACTAATAGGCACATTGCTACAACTAATTTATTCTTCCCCAAATGTCCCACAGCTAACAAATACGTCTGAGCTAACCTCTGGTTAACAAAGTTAACCCAAAAGTCAAAACTGTCCGCTCATGTTTATATTCTAAAACATATCTCTGGAATCTTGAAGGCTGAAACCTAAGAGTATCTTTAAAACTTAATAAGGATGTCCAACCCCCAAAAACATGCTTCGCAGTATGAAAACCTGATGATTACCAAACTAAGCAAGTTGGTCTGATTTAAACAGGAACTATCCCAAACCTTTCTTAAATCTTAAACTGCATCCAGCCATAAGACATTTTTAAGATAATATGCATAGGATATGCTCAGATAACCCAAATGGAAGAATTAAAGTGTACAAAGAGTTCCTACTACTGAAGGAACTTTTCTAAGCTTCCCTTTCCCTTCTCTTGATTTGGCCACCAGTTGGTTCCCGCTGATTTACCCGAAAGATTTGCAACCCATCGGTATCATTTGAGTGGATTTGACCTTAGTGGGGTGCCCTGCAAAAAGATACACTGTCACATCCCACGGGGAGATGGGAGCTTGGCTAACTGCTTATGTTCCCCGTCCTCTCTGGCTACCAGCTGGCAGACAGAGTGCAGCTGCTGCTTGCAAGAAAGGTTTTAGATGGAATGACAGGCTGTTAACAAAATACACCTAAAATGGATGCGCTGACCACCCTTTCTCCTGAAAGCCCAAAGACATACAGGCCCTGGGAGTGAAACACGGGACTACTGTATTTTGAAGAAACCTTTTATGTTCAACAAGAAGAGTAAATGGAAAAACTGTGAAAGAAACCAGGCCACAAAAAAAAAAAAGCCAAACACTTCAAACCCCAAGGACAGCAGGCTGTACAAGTCACATCTGGAGGTACAGGAGCTGCTATATTGTTGCTGCAGTAGTGACTCTGCACTTGCTGCAGTGACCTGTGGTTGCATCCGTATAAGAAGTCACTGCTCACTGCTGTCCTCTCAGGAAAGACAGAAGAAAGTGAAAATGCTTTCCACTTGGCAGGACCAAACGACTCAACAGTAGACAACTCAGACCTAGGATATGTTAAAAGACACTGTGTTCCAAGTAAGTCCAGGGTCTGATCTTCTCGAGCAGAAGGAAGCACCCGCACGCATTTCCTGTGCACGTGTTATTAAAGAAAACTCCAGCTGATAAGATGGAGATACTGTTGAATCTGCATTAAGAGCCTAAAAACATTATCATGTTTAGATGGGCAAAAATAAATTAGTTGATGACAGGGAACACGCCTTTTAACTCCATTCTGCTGCTTAATTTGCACAGTGGGTAAAATGGACTTGGTTTTATACTTGTACTGGGCTGGGCAGGGGACTGCGCAGGCATGCCAGTAGCTCAGGCTGTCCCCTCTGAGCACAGGAGTGCTGCAGTATGGCATTCCTTGATGCATACAGCATAGAGAAATGTGGAAAGGAAGATCCCTTTCTGCTAATAGTGCATTTGGTGTTTCATCTAGCGTGGTACCATACCAGTTGGCTCTTCGCATCCAGCTGTACTCTGCATGTCTTTGCCAGACCTGGGGGGGAGCAGAGGAAGTAACCCTTCCTCTCAGCCTCATGTCTGCAAAACCATTGGCAGCCAGGTTTTTCTGCCAGGAAAAATGCTGTGATTCTGCAGAGCTGCCACCCTTTTCCCAGGACCTCTCCACCCTTCAGCACATTGGACAGACCACAGCAATCCCCACCAAGCAGCACTTTACACAAAGCAACTAGCGTAGGTAGGTCCAGATTCTGTCTTGCCTCTTTTTACAGCTGAACAGCACTGCTTCAGCAGGGTCAGGGCTCTTCACATCTGCACAGAAAGCAACAGGATGTGGTCTACTTGTTCAGATGGAGTAAAGCTCTTTGAGGGGGTCTTCTAGCAAACAGCACAGACATTAGTCAGCTCCATTGCAAGCCAATACTAAATTGCAAAAAAAAGAACAGTTCCTGGTGGGAGGTGAAGGGTGAGTAAGGCAAGGAGCCTTACAAAATGCTGCCAGCCGCCCTTCTTTGATTTATTTTTAAACTTCAAGTGGGATAGGATGTAATTCACACCTACTTTAAGGCTCCCTTGTGCTGCCAGAACCAGCTAAAGGGATCTTAAAGTAAATGAGCATCAGGGCCAGAGATGTTACTGCTTCTTTTTGCTGCAAACATGAAATAAAGGTATCTATTGCTTTTTAAATATACTTTATAAATAAATCTGGACAGACCTATGAATAGGCTAGCAAACACTTAAACATCTGAGTAATTCTATACCACAGAGGACCCCTCAAATTTTATAGGTAGGATCATGTGCGCTGAAGTGCTTTCATAATCACAGACTGCAGAATTACCCTTTATTTTTTATCACTAACTCTAGGGAAGAAAAAGAAAACAAAACAAATAAACCAACCTTGTTCCCAGTTACTGGACAAACTGCTGCTTTTTGAAAATTGATTAAAAGAGTGCCATATAAAGTTCACATTAAAAATATGTGAAATTTTGTATGCTCTGAGCCAAAAAACAAATTACTCAGCTGAACATGTAGAAACTTCTCAAGGTAACTGGGACATTTTGGAGGCTCCTAAAAAACACGTCTACAGTTTCGGTCATTGAAGATGCAGCCATGAAATCACTTCAAAGTAATCCATAAACTAATTGGTACAAATTTTCATAGCCCTACAGCAATCATAGGCATGCTATATATTTACTATAGCTGAGAATTAAAACTAAAAAATATTAGAATTTCTATTCTCACAGGCAATATTTACAATATTTCTTTTCACCAGAAATTAGGGATAAAAAGTTGAAACTGTAAATTTTAATTTAACAGAAATTCTAAAATGTCTTGATTGAAAAATGCCAATTGTTTCCTTTTGGCATCAGGATGAAACTTTCATTCTGACTCTCCAAAATTATAATTAAAATTGCTTCCATTTGAATTTCCATTGAATTTCTCAAAATACTTCCTTTTATACAAGGTCATCAACAATTGCCCCCTCCTCCCCCCCCGCAGTGGCTCCTTAACACACTGCAATC